TAATGCATCTGGTCACTTTCAAAAGCTAAGGATGACTGAAAGAATTTTGTGTAGCTTTTTGTTTTTAAGCACAATCCATCAAATCCCAAGGAATGTGCTCACATAAAAGATGGTTTGGGGGTCAGGTTTAGAAATAATGTTGGTGTTATGACATACATTCCCATGAAATGAATATGCAAAGTTGTACTCTATATAATAGTTAGTGATTTTGGTTCATCTGAGATCATATGCTATTTGTATAAATAAGACATTCTGAATTTGAAAATGACTAAAAATTAAGGTTAGAACAGAATTCTGGAAGTTAGGATATGTTTTCTCTGTTTCAGAGTTGGACCTTTGCAAAAGCAGCCACAGAGTTTCATGCAATCTCAATGTGAAATCACATGTCCCTCCCAAGAATCCAGGCAAACTTGAAATCTGACCTATTCCTGCCTAAATTTGACAGTTTTGAGGGTCCAGGACAAGGATGGTTTGGATTTTGAGCCTGATACAAAATCTGAAACGAGGAGATTTGCTTATGTGTGATTGTCATTCTGACATTCAAGTCAGAAATAACTGCAGTTATGTCTGGAGACTTTCTGAATCTCAATACTAAACCTCCATTTTTCTTCCCTTTGCCTTCCAAAAATCTTAAAACACAGCCAGAAAAAGCTTATACCTCCCTGAGTAAGACTGTAAGTACCATCCTGCTGACCTGCATGCAACTTCTTTTAAAATTTGGAAAAAGTTTGGAACCATGCTTCTGGTTCATAACTGCTATTATTAATGGTAAAAGTAAGGATATTTTTCTCTTGTTATGAATAGGAATAAAAAATAAGAAGGAAACCATAAGCAACTCAGATTTTTATTTTTTTTTACATCTTTGTTGCTGCAGAAGCTCTCAAGTAATCTCTCCAACATTAAGGTAGGAATGCCAGGACAGTAAAGGAAATATACATTTTTAGCTTCCTAAAGAGATTTCACAGCACTTTAACTATAAAAAAAGAATGACGTTTATATCTGTAATGTTAAGGCTCATGGTTCTTATTCAGTCTTACCAAATTGGCTTTTTGAGTTAGGTTAAGAACAGCAATAGTTAGCCAATAAATCTGCTATCTTTATAATAGCTTTTTCTTTAAATCCCAGAGCCTCCTATGACAGAAACATGAGGAAAAAAGGATACAAAGAACTCCCAAATCCACTTACAGTTATTTTCAACTTGCTCTAAAGTCAGTGGAAAGCCCTTGATGACCTCACTAGACCTCTACCAGGTGGCCAGAACATCATTGCTAGGATCATTATCCATGACTCTGACCAACAGTTTTGCCCCCAGAGCAAAACCTGTTGCATGTGCACCTCTTAAGCCATCGCATGGACTTTTGCATGTGCCAGCACAGAAATCTTGGCCACCCTCAATATCCCCCAGCACTTGTCCCAAACATGCCTGGGAGTCAGAGGCATTTGTAACTATAGCGGTGACTATAATGTTTTGCTCTCATAGGAATGGTTTAAAAAGCTGGCCTGCTGGTATTTCACTGTTGTTAAAAATAGAGTTCTGAGGAATTTGTCTTTGAGGAAAAAAAAAGCATGCTGAATAAATAATTGCACAAACCTTGCAAACATATGAGGGGGCAAATAGTTCTGGGGGCCCTTTAACTTGATTCTGGGGCTGAGATTCTCAGCACAACACTGATAAAGTACCTTCTTGGAAAAAAGACAATATTTAGGCTTTTCAGGGAATTTCTGATGACTGCGGAAAGAATGAATCCTTTAATTGCTTTGCATTGCGTCCCCTAATGGCTCTGCATTGCATTTCTATAAATTGTTTCAGCTAATGGCGAGTTTGTGAAGTTTCTAACAAATTTGTAATGAATAGCACCAGTAACAGAATAATAATAAACTTGTCCTTGGTGCCATTTGGAAGAAATTAATGCTTAGGGATTCCTGGTGACATGAGATGCTACTGATGGAAGATTTATGGTTTGCGGCAAAACAGCGCCATGCTGTGTAAAAGACCGAAGCAGCTGGCTTCACCACCAGTTTTTAAATGTCCACTATGATTCAGAATGGAAAGTACAAGTGTGGTAAATGAAAACGAGGCCCCAAAGGGAGACAAGTGTAAGTCTAATGCAAATGTGACTGAAAGAATGGCATGTTGCAAATCTGAATTTTTACAGAGAGATTTGTGGACAAAACTTTGATAGAGTAATGAAAAATTAAATACCAACAAAACCAAGTAAGCTTTGATGCTGTTTTATGAGACAGCTTTCCACCATGTATTTTTAGAAACAAGCATCTTTATTTTGGGATAAATGAATTTAGAAAGAGTAACATCTGGGAAGGCACACCATTAATCTTAACTTTTTGTTGAAAGCTTCAAAACAATGAGCAGCTGTCATGGGGAATCTCAGTTATAAATAAGGGGTTTTCTGTTTGTTTGTTTGTTTTTAAGGGGGCAGCTAAAAGAACAAGCTGACAAATTGGTAGCAGATCACAGCTTTTACCAAAAAGAAAAAAAAGAAATGTTTCTAACAGATTATCAATCAATTATGCTCTTATGATAGACAATGACTGTGGTTATGCCGACAAAAAGCTGGCCTATTTCTTTCCCTTCCAGAAACACACCCATTACACTGACTGCCAGCAATTCAGCCTGGTACCATCCCAATATTTATTTCTTTGTAATGTTGACGGGTTTTTTCTTGTTCTTTTTTTTGGAATGCCTGGAAGATGATGACATTTTATTTTACATTTGAAACAACTAAAGTGTAGGGACAAAAAAAAAAAATAATTCAGAGTCTCTTTGGAAGAGATTACTCAGTTATTTGGGACAACATTTCCATCTCAGCCATGGCTTGTTCTCACAGTTCCTGGTGCTGCAGGACTGTGGTACTGGGAAGGGTTTTTTTCTGACATGTTTTGGCTGTAGGGCAGCTAATGAGGTGACCTGTTGGTCACTGTTCATTAAACATGTATATATATACACCACCACCCCCCCCCATGCATATATGTAGAGTGTGTGTGTGTGTATTTATGCATATTTATACATATTTATATGCGTTGTGCATAAAATATATAAGAAAGTGTTGGCTCATTTCACTCCCCATAAAACATTTAAATTAATAAAGCACTTCTGCAAGATGCACAACATGACCTAATACATTGCAGCCTGCTCTCACTGTCACCCAACAGGTCACAAAGATTAAAAGCAGTGTTCAGGAGAAGACTGGATAAAATGCTCAAATTCACTGTGGAGGCTGAATCCGAGTTTCAAAAGTGAAAGCCAACTAAGTTTATGCTCCTATAAGTCTAAAATATTCTTAAAAATGTGACTTTGTTTCCTAAGTCATTTCAGTGATTTAAAGAATGTGACTTTCCAGGTTTTACAGGCCTGAGTCCATCATTCGCTGAAAGTTTCTTTCTCTGAAAGAGAGAAACTAATTCACTGCACATCCCTTGTGAGAACACTCATGAAAGAAAAGCTTTTGATAGTTCTATTTCGTAGCATACTTTCCACTCTTGCACTTAAATTGATTTGCAGACAGATATAAATCCAATTTCAAAAAGTTTGGTGTTACAGCTTGGGTGGGTTAGGTGGATAACTAATGCTTATCCATATGTCCTGAACATGCAAGCTTTGGCTCAAAATCTCATGAGGATAGTTCTCTTGCTTCCAGTTGGGCTGGATTTACTAGCTTATTTTTTTCTTCCAGAAACACACCCTTAACATTGACTGCCAGAACCTACATCTGGTACTATCCTACTTTTTTAACATTTTGCTTTAAAATTAGAGGGGAATAGCCAAATATTTTAGGACTTGCTAAATGGTTTTATTCTAAAAATGCACATGCCCATGCATACAATGCAATGTGTGCAAGACACATATCATCCACCTAGTAAAAAAATCACTGCACCCCTGCAAACCTGACATCTCTATAAAGGCTGACAGAATAAAACCATCAATGAAATACTTTTAACCCTTTAAGATGATATTTAAACTTTTACCTTCAAGTTTCACAGCAAATTCCACAGAAAAGGCAGTGAAATACTGCAGTCACACTTGGTTTGGGGGTGATGTGAAAACTGCTTCTCAAGATTTTTTGGGATCTTTGCGATTCACTGTAAAAATATAATTCAGAAAGTTTTAACCAATTGCAGCAGTTTATTGGTCAAATTTAGCAGCTATTTTGTCTTCTTCTGGAAGGCAGGAAAGAGGCACAGATGAGTTAAGCTCTATAGCCCATCTTCATATTAATAAAGAGTTTCATCTCAGAATCCCAGAATTATTTTCTTGCAAGCTGAGAGGAGAACTTGGGTGGGCATTCTTCAGTTTGTTTTCTTTTTTAATGCATTTAATGGGGATATTACGGGAAAGAGTGCCTAACCTAGGGAGGCAGGTGAAGGGTAGGAGGAGGTGAACTGATTCCTCTTGCAGCTCAGGGGGTCCACAGCTCTGCTGAGCTCTGGTCAGTGTCAGGAAAAAAAAATCTCATGCTGTGGATGGATACTGACCTGCTGCAAAGCAGAGGCTCCCTGCTCCCATAAAACTAAACAAAAAGGAAAACAGGAATGTGAAAAGAGGCTCAGAAAACAGTAACTCAGTTTCTCATCTCCCATCCCACAAAGTATAAATACTGTTTTGATGCTTGATGGAACAACCTCACAGAGGAGCAGAAAGAAAAATATGTCAGCTGAAGCACCCACTTCCTGCTGGCTCCATGTTTTCTCTTTATGGGGCTGGGCACAGCCCAAGGAGTCATGGCATGAACTGCTCAATTTTGGGCTCTGTGAGCTGCTATTAATGAACAGTATTTTCAGGACATTTGTACTGGAGTGGCATTACACCCTGCTAATGTTAGTTACACCCCTGGCTATCTGAGTTAAAAAAACAAACCCCAAAACCCCAACTTTGTTTCCCAGATTGGTCCATGAGATCAGCATTTGTCAGCAGTCGCGGACCCTAGTCTGCACTGAGACTAAGGTTACCCAGTGCCTACACATCATCATCGTCGACAAGCCATCAGCTCTCATGGCTGCAGCTGCATGAGTATCAAAGGGGTGGTGACATCTTGTGACCAGGATCCACCTCTTTTGTTGTTGCTATTACCCAAAACAAAAATTGATCACTTGCATATTTGATGGGGGAAAACTGAAGTTTTCTATTTCATTTTGATGCTGCAGTCAAAAAGTAATATGGATTTTGTTACATTCAACATCTGGTCCAAAAATGTGCATTTCCACTAAGGAAAACACAAACCAGAAAAGGCAAGCCAAAACACACACACACAAAATGTTACTATTGTTTCTACATATTTTATCCAGATAGGATTTTTAATATGTACAGAAACTGTATCTGAGGTTATGCAGTTGGGTCTAGATATGGAACTTGAAAGCATGAATTTCTTTTCATGAGTATCATTTTGTTTTATTTCAGCCTTTGCTAGTCTTTTTCTACTTAACTGGCAGCGGACAACCCTCAAATTGCATTTTCAGTGTATGATTTATATAGGTATAAAAATATGTGGGATAAGAAAGCTTTAACATTATATTTCACAATTCATTGAACAAAGTAGCAGTAGTTAGAAAATTTTGCTTGGCAAGATCATACTGGGGTGGGAGTGGGCCTGTGTGTGGAAAAGGGACTTAAGGAATGTTCCTACCATTAGTCTGAAGCAGTACAGTCCAGTGATGGGAATTTACTCTGGGAGGTAGATCTTGCTGTAAACCATTCAAGATTAGATATGAGGCACTGACATATGACAAATGAAACTGCTGAGAGAGTGGGTTGCACGAGCTAATGATTTTCAATCTTTAATCAGGCACCTACCTTGGCATAAGGTATTAGATTTGAGTAAATAAATACCTTTAAGGCTCAGGGTCAAAGCTTTGATGGGAATTTTGCTGAGGAGAATAGAGCAGGAGGGAAACTGAGGAAGAAAAATGTTATCTGCTCTTCATTCACAGCATTGAGCTAACAGGGACAAATCCTGGCACCTTTGCCAGTTTGAGTGGCACCTTGCTGCAAGCGGGAAGCTGCTCAAGATACCACGCAGATGGACATACCTCTGTGAAAGTCAGACCATGCTGGCTTGTCGGCAAATGGAATACTCCACTGCATCTGGGTGGAAAGAGAGAAAAAGGTTACTTAGAATCTGCTTAGTTTGGGCCTTGTATTCCCTGACCTCCAAGTTTTTGGGCACAATTTTATACCCACAGCTGACTGTGGGCACAAAAATTATAGCATTCAGGAATTTAACTACCTGATGATTGGGCCTGTGCTCAGTGTTGTAACCCCAAGCATTCCACATTCATGAGAGAAACCTCCAAAAAAATAAAAAACCTGCGAGATTGGCTTCAAGATCATGAATTAATACTTCTTGAAACTTCTGCTTTTCTTGAGCCTGTGTGGCTTGCATTTGCAAGTTCTTCCACCATCATAAACAGTGGGAACCTTTGAAAAAATACAGCAGTGAAATCAGATTTCTGTACAGCAAAATGGCTCGTGAAACTGGACCTTCAGGAAGACAAAACCAAAAAGAGAAATCACGGCTTAGGATAAAGTTGCTGGACATTGTACTACAGAGGATGCCAGGCAGTGCTGTGTATAAATGGCAGCATCTCAACCAAATTTGCACACAGAGGCAAACGTACACACACACATCCGTATATAAATGTGCGTATACAAAGATACCCCTACGACACCAGAATGGTTGATATCTTTGTCTGTCAGGAACAAAGACATCTTCTGTTGTATTAGGGAAGCACATCAATGACAGAGATGAAGGCTCCTTGGAACAGTGTCCAGTGTGTTCAACCCACACAAGAATAAGGAGTCTCACAAGCTTCACCTCCTCCCACTCTCTGATCAAGTTACTGACTTGGCCTTTTCAATCAAATAACAGACATCAAAAATACACCCAGAACATGACAAAACATGTACTTTTCACCAAGATTTACTACTTGGGGAAAAGAGGAGCATGAATCAGATGTGGCAGACCTATCCCATTGGCAATGCTTTCCTGGAAGTCCTTAGATCTTAGTACTATTTGGCGAAGGTGTAGAAAATATTACCTCCATCCACATTTGTCATGGATTTTACTGCAATTCTTGGGGCTGCAACTGAATGTTGACTAGTGGTTGAGAAAGCTGTAGAAACAGGCTAGTTTAAAAAACACATATTTCAGCAATATCAAGCAAATCTTACAAAACTTTTATACCTCTCTACATGCACATCTAAATACCAATAGAATATATTAACCCTGTTTTGTGGAACAGGTTTGGAATCTTGTTTGTGGGTCTTCAAAAAAGCACGTCCTTTTGCACAGGACAGTAGAGATAGAGGAGACATCAAAAAGATGCTGGAGTTTTTCACAAGGCATTCCTTTATTCACTGACACTGAAATTCTGCCTTTTCTTTTCTAGAGTAGTTGCAGATATAGGAACTTCTTCTCTAACCTGGTAAACCTTCCTGGAAATCAAATTTTCTGTCTCTGATAGGTTAACTTGACCTTGACCTGGGAAAAGCCTGTGGTTGCAGAAGGTCTAAGGTATTCTTGAATAGGATGCTCAGCTGTCTTGTACTTGCTACTGTATGTTGGCAAGGCAGAATTAAAACCAAATACTCTCTTTAATATTGAAACCCCAGAAATTGGGGAAAAAGCAAAACATACAATTTAAGTGAAACTCAAACAACTCAGGAGGGTGCCCTCTATTTGCAGGGATAACCAGATCTGTACAGCTTTTATTTTAAGGCCAGTTTCTTAAGCAGTAAGCATTTTTTACTCCCTTCTACTTCATTATGCCATTGTACTCAGATTTCGGCCCTTTTATCCTTTGCCCATTTCAGTCATGTTCTGGGATCTGCAATGAAACCACTGCAGGAGATGGTCTGCAGCATCAGTAATGCTTTAAGACAAGCTCGGTAGCTCATATTTCTCTGTTAGCATCCCATTGCAAAGGGGAAAGATCAGTTTGCTTTGTTCTTAGGCCTTGATTTTCATAAGCTAATGATGACTGTGGATGTAATTATGGTCAGGCTTCAGTGGTAGCACAAGGGCAAAAAACCAGAAAGGCGCTTCCACAAGGCCAGTTTCCCCTCTGCCATGCACAGGGAGCGGGAGGGCATCTGCCTGTCTTCCCCCAGGCATACACCCATACCCAGGGAAGGAGGGATGTGCCAGCCATAGCACAGCTTGGCTGCAGCAGAAGCAGGAGGTGGAGCATTATCCTGAGCACCCACCAGTTTGGGTCCCTTCTAGGGAACATCTGATGCTGGATTAACCTCCTTGAGATTAACCTGCTCTATCAATAGCAATAAATGCTCCCATTTCTGTTCAGTTTACAGCTGAGCAGGACCCTTTAGTGGATTTTTCCTCTAATGTTGCTCAGTCATTGCTTCAGTGCAAAAGATATCTGAACACTTGCATGATAGTCAGGTAGATATTGCAAGGAGTGCTGTTTTAAAGGGGACGGTATACTCTGCGGGTTGAATAGTTAATAGGTATTGCCGCTGCCAGTATAGGCAACATTTTTCATTAAGCAGTGAACACAAATGCCTATTCAGCCACACAGTATATGTTAAAGCTGTGATATTAAAAAACTGTGATATTAAATTTTTTTTTAAAATGCCTTTTGAGCATTACTGAAAGCAATTAAGGTTAAATATTCTGAATCACTTAAGAAAACATTTTTTTCCTGTTTTCAAAATGAAAACGGTTTGAAGCGTGTTTTTTTAAGTCACTGCAGTCCTATAAGTTACTTTGGCTCTAAAGACACGTCTTCTGAAATTTAAGTAAATATTGTCCACTGTTTGGAAACAGAATGAAAACATTTTCTAACAAAATGATAAAACACTGCATTTCCAACCAGGCACCGCGTAAAACAAAATGTGTTATAAGCATTCGACTTGGTGCTGAGAAGATTTATAAGCATGCATTCGAAAAATTTCAATCAGCAGTCATGAATATTCATATGAACTAACAGACAGATTTAGGCAAGTTTGCAATATCATTTTCTTGCAGTAACAATATGCAAATGTCTGTACACACAGGTTCTTGAAGAGAGAATGAAATTAGAGTGCAAGTGTCATGGAGTTTCAGGTTCCTGTACAACTAAGACCTGCTGGACCACGCTTCCTAAATTCAGGGAGATTGGATATATTTTGAAAGAGAAATACAATGCTGCAGTGCAAGTGGAGGTGGTACGAGCCAGTAGACTAAGACAGCCAACCTTCCTGAAGATCAAGCAGATTAAGAGTTACCAGAAACCCATGGAAACAGATTTAGTGTATATCGAAAAGTCACCTAACTACTGTGAGGAAGATGCTTCCACAGGGAGTGTCGGTACCCAGGGACGACTCTGCAACCGTACCTCACCCAATGCGGATGGGTGTGACATGATGTGCTGCGGAAGAGGGTACAACACACACCAGTACACCAAGGTGTGGCAATGTAATTGCAAATTCCACTGGTGCTGCTTTGTGAAGTGCAACACGTGTAGTGAGCGGACAGAGGTGTTCACCTGCAAATAATGGTGTCATGTGCAAACAAACAGAACCAATCACCATGAGTGAAGAAAGTGGAGTACAACCAACGACGACAGCATCATTTTGCACATCTAATCTTCTTCGGGAAAAAAACCCCAAACACCACCACAACAACCACTCCCTCCCCGCTACTTACACTTCAAAGGATGGTGCATTTTTGCTGGCTGGCTGTTGTAACTGCTTTGGAAACAAGGGCAACAGGATTAAGGTGATGTTGACAAACACATGAAACTTTTTTTTTAAACTACAATCTGGGTGTTGCAGATTTTCGTGTGTTTTAAGTTATACATATCAGAGAAGCTGATCGCATTGCAGCTCCCATGAAATTTAAAAGAAAAAGACTCTTTCTCCTATTTTACAACAACAAAACCACCAAGCCCTGTGCAAATAAAGACCTTTTTTCTTTTTTTTTCTTTTTCTTTTTTTGTTTTTAAAGTAAATGAAATCTTCACTGACTAGAACACAGCAGACTTGCTGCAAAATCCTAAATTTCTACAAAAGCAGGTAAAGAGAAAACAGCTGGTAGGGAGACAAAATCTATGGCGGAAATACTCCACTATCAGTTTGGAAAAAATAACATTCACAAAATTACATCAGCTGCCAGTGACACTGGAACTCTTTGAATGAACATTAAAAATAATTATTTATGTTTTTAATAGTATCAAAAAATTCTAAGCACTAACGGGTAGCTATGTCTTAATTCTGTACTAAATGTAAACTTATTGGAACTCTGACTATGACTTTTGTATTTGGTTCTCCCTAAGTTCTTCAATGCTACTGATCTGTTGTCACTCCACTATTAGAGTTCAATTACTGTAGGCCTTAAGCAATTACCAGAATTGAGCGGAAAGATCATGCGAAACTGTGGTTACAAATGCTTGATAAAGACTTTTCCCACTTGCCTCCTGATTAAGAATGACTCTTTTTAGACTCAGGCTTGAGGCATGGAGCACCTGCTCTCAGCTCCTTGTAGGGAGTTTTAGGATACAAAGACATGCTTCGACAAATATCAAAGGTTTTGCTTTGCTGTTAAATGCACTAGCAGAATCTTTCAAGCATTGTGTTTTGCCTTTACTGGTTGAAAGTTAATATTACCAGTAGCTTTAAGTAACTTATGCTCAGTATGAACTGAGAAGTTAATAAAAATATGGTAGCTAAGCTCTACGTTGCTGCAACCTGTGAGCTGTGGTGGCTTCATGAACATGAGAAAGGTAAAATATGGGTTCGTCTGTGTTGTCGTTATTCTAAGGTTGGAAATAATGTACCCCGTGGTAAATACATGAATGTTAAGGAAGAAACTGACTTTTTACACCAGCACTAAATTCTAATTTACACACCTTTTCCCTATGAGAGATTTAAAGAAAGTCCTCAGATAATTTACTACTGTAAAATCTAGTGTTTGTAAACCCAAGAGTCAGATATGCCCACTTATAACACAGTGCATTTAAGCACATAAATGTTTGCTTGTAGCAAGGGTCCCTACATGATTTTCTGAAAACTGGGATTAAAAATTTCCTAACATCTGCATATCTGCATTTCTAGATTTTGTTTCATTTTATTACTTTTATTGAGGGGCTGCGCAGCCATGGGCCCTCCCCACTTGACATGGAAGCACTTGCCACACCACATGGTGCCCTTGGGGCAAGGGGCCGGTGGAGCTACTGCTCCACCAGCTCCCATGCTGGATATGTGAATGAGCCAGGATTACCTCCATATTTTATGGGCCTGCATTATCAAAGGTAACTAAATACTTGGGGACCTTCATTGAAACACTCATGAAGACCTGCCTTTCTGACCCCAAGCACTTACCCTCTGAAAATCAGAGCCCTTTGATGAGCCTGCCATGGAGCAATCCAAAGTTGAAAAGCTCATTTTTTATATTGTTGCTGTTGGTTTCTAAATGCCAACCATGATGTGAACAACCCCATAGAAGTCAACAGGGGCCCCCCAAAATGCTAGAGTCACTCCATATAATTTAAGTCCCTTTGATTCATGGGTATTGTTGTTGAATAATAGTGATATACTGTACTTTCACTACATTCTTGACAGGAAGCAAATAAAGCTCCCAAGCACAGTAATGCACAGTCTTATGGTACTAGATACTGTAAATATATTAGAATAGTATTTGTTAAGTACAATTGAGGAATCCAATTAAGTTATATTATTGTATATCGTTTAAATGTCTATAGAGTATTTTAAATTATTGTGAACTACACTGCGTTAAAAAAAAAAGGTTATATATTATAACACCAACCACTCCAAAAAGTGGACCAAAGTGACACTTTCTTTTTTTTTTGCATACCCCTATTTCAAATAGCTTTGTCAGCTACTGAAACATCACGATAACAGTCCTACGATTGGATTAGCTGTCTAGAATTTGACGTTTCAGAGCACCCTATACAATTTTTGTTTTTGTGGGTACTGTACGGCACAAAGCAGGGGATGACCATGGGAATGCACGGACTTGGAACTTTGTCCCAGGAAAAAAACAGGTTTGGTCAGAAAACACCATTACCACTAATGTACTGAAACATCCCCCCCCCCCAAATGGCAACCTTTTAATGAAGGTGTCTATGAACAGAAGTGGGTTACACACAGCTTTTATTTTAAAAGATGTAGTTTGATTTCAAAGAACTGTGACAATAGAGGTTTGAATGCAACCAGCAACACAACATGGTTTAACCACACTTTAGCCATGACAAAACTCATAAGACTGTATGTTATTAAAGAATTTAAGAGCAAAGATCAATTTGTTTACTATGTTAATGTTTTATGGCAAGCAGAAAACAAAAGATAAAATGTGTGTCCATTAAAACTTACTTTATTCCCCTTCTAGTTCCCTTTCTTTTTGTTTGTTGTTCATTTAGAAAAAAGAAAGAAAACATCAAGGCCTTATGCAAAAGCTGTTTGCGTGAAGGCTTCTCTGGAAGACAAATGATAGGCAGATTTCAAGTTCAAAGCAGTTTTTGTGTTTTGTGAGAAATAATAGTGAACGTGCCTGTGTTTGGTATCACAGTCCAAAGTCAGCTACCTACACCAGTAGTACCAGAGAAATTGGCACAAGCACTACCAACCTTGCTATTACCAGAGACTTTGGCTGGCTCAAATGAGAAAAACATAAATGTTTTGTGACATAAAATGTGGCATCCAACACCAAAATGTTTCTTGACCATGAACCTCACATAACAGATTAGTGAACAGAGACGAGTAAGAAAGAGACGTAGAGGAGCAGTTTGAAGACCCTGACTTCAGCACTTGCACATGTTCCAGTTCACTCAAACAAGTTATGGAAACATCTGAAAACCCCACCTGAATCTGTATCTGAAATACTTTACAGCATTTACCTTGATCAGAATAGTAGCAACCTCTTTGATAATGAGAATAGTGTCTTCATATAAGAAATCTAAAGAAAATGTACAAACTTTGTTGTATTTGTCTCTCAGGGAAGATATCCAACTATAGATAAAGGTATAGCCAAATTCCACATGAACTAAGTCCAAAATAACTTCATTAAAATGAACTGAGTTGGCCTGGGTTTATAGCAGCATAAGTATGTACAGCATTTTATCCATGGATGCCAAAGAAAACACTACACCTTCTTTCTAATTACATCATGGGAAACTTGTTAATAGAGCTGAAGAATTTTTTATAGCAAATGGTACTATTACATTTGTTTCTATGATGACATCTGGAAAATAGATGAAACTCGTCAAAGGTTTGTAAATCTTTTAACAAAAATGAAGCACATTGCAAGTAGGTCACTTAAAGTTTTAAACATATTTTCATGGATTTCTTTCTTAATTTAAGGTCAAAACCCTAAAGTGATACTGAACATAACAAATCAAGACCTTCCCTTGTACCATCTTTCCCATGGAAATAGCGCATATGCCTTTCACTATTGAAGGCACAATTGATGTTCAACAGAAAATGCTTTCTATAAAGATACAGATAATTTGCATTCATAGTGATTTTCATAACTGGACAGAATGACTGCACGTTTCCTTTCCAATCCTCCAGACCTTTTGTTGCAATGACAGTTCCCACAGCAAAGGCGGTACAGTAAAGACCCAATATTCTTCTGAGTGACTGCCGCAATGAGATGCAGGATATACACGCTAAAACCATGTATAAGGGCAAAAAAACCATCAAAGCTGGAAAGGCAGGGGAAGTTGTAAGCAATTTCAGTTTGTGCCACTGTGATATTGTAAGAAACCTCCTGCATGCAAAACAAACAGCATTGTAGGCTGAACCCACAAAAGTTTTTCCCCTCAAATCCAAAGTTCCCATCTGCATCTCTGCACCTCTGCACATTCCGACTGTTTCGTTGGAGAACAAACATGCCCAATGGCTGCCAAGTATTTTCCTTTTGGTGTTATACTTGCTATTAGAAAATTGTAGGGGATCATTATCTGACAGGGGACATGAAGTTGCAAATTCAATATCTGCATTTCATTTTTTAAATAAAGATCCAGGTTTTTTTTCCCCTGCACATTCTTGCAGTACAGATGCATGTGCTTTAAAAGACTTGTTTGGTGAGGAATGAAGACGTCAGTTTACACACAATACGTGATTGTTGTTTGTACAGTGTTGCACAGAGCACTGAAGAAGAGGGAATAATAACGTTGTAAATTCAAAATCTTTAGTTGTGCTGTTTTTACTGAAAGCAATACACTAGGTATTACCTATTTGGACACCCTAGTGAGATTCCATTTCATACAATGGTCCTTTACATAAGTTGGTACTATGAAAGGCCAAAAAATTTGGAACAGTAAAGTGCCAGGTCCTCTCGTTCGTGCTGTAAACAGACCATACATTCAATACAGAACCAGCTTAATGACAGTTAAACTTATTCATAGGTATTAAAAACAATTAACACATTTGTTTCATAGGCAATCCCAAACAAATGACACTGCAACAGACATTGGAAATATTTGCATTGAAAGTTAGCTATATGATTAGCCTCTGCCTTCATTTGCCCAGAAATGTAGGGGAAAGCCAGCATTTTAGATCCCATACAACTAAAAGGAATTCCCAAGGAGATTACAAGATTTTGATCTTATTGTTTAATTCCTGTGGCTGAGAATGAAAAGGAGCATTCCCTCAATCTTTGGGTAAAAAGAAAACCAAAGGCATTTTGAAGACTATTCACACCACTCAACTCAAAAGACAGGCTAAGTGAGCTGACAGCCTCTCTAGACTTCCTCAATAGGGAGAGCAAACTTGCTCTGGGGGAGGCGTTAGATCACCTCTGACAGAACCTCTTTTCCTTCTCAACTGGAAAAAAAACCCAGGGAGACACACTGGATAATTTATCCACTGAAATTAAGTACCAAAAATTGTGTCATGTGAATGAACTCTTATTTCCCCTCTACCGTTTGCCTCAGCTGCTCTTGGGCACTAATTATATTTTCCTTAGTTATTTTTTTTCCTTTTTTTAACTGTAAGCTCTATTATTTTATGTGTTGTGGAATAGATACTCCATTATGTCAGTGAAATTGGCTTTGCTTTTCCTTTTTACTGCCACCCTGTTCTCGTCTCTTCCAACCGATCTCCAACTCCTGATTTTATGCATGAACTATTTCCCCACAGAAATTATTTCAAAGAGAATTCTAAAAAGCCAGACAATTATCCTGTGATTTGATGAAGCAGTTCCCTACAAAGCAGCTTATTTATGATTTTGACTTCCTCTTAACATATGCGCTGTGCAGAGAAATCTAATCCAAAGGGTGAATGTTTAATAGTATTCTGATACTGGTTGTGAAGGATCCTAAAGGGTGTGCATTGCAATGCTCCCTTGGTTATTTCATTGGAGTGCATCCAGGCTGCTGCTAGCTCATCAGGCTACGCCGAAAGGCTCTTGCAGCAGCTGAATCCCAATTACCTGCATGGATTGCATCCTGCCATTAAAGCTGAGTTCAGCCTCCAGGTTAGGCTTGCTAAAAGGGCAGTGAAATTTAAGTGTCACACATTTTCTGTAGCGCTAGCCATCACGCAGAATATGGTTACTTGTCTCAACACCTTTCTGAGGTATTATATGCTTTAAAGAAATATATACTTAGCAGTACTCATAAGAATTAGCATACCAAGACAGAAGAAAAAAAGGCACTCCTCAAATTGCATCATATATCCCAAACTGCACACTTAGCACACGTGTATTTCCACACACATGTAAAAATATATGTAAATATACTAAAAAAATATGTGTGGGCATATCCGAAAAATACACACTGCAGATATTCAGAGCAATTTACCTCCTCAGTATTTCCCTTTTCAAAGAGAGTGGATTTTGAGGCCTCTTACTGAAACAGAGGGATACAAATTTTCCACATTTCCTTCCAGATGTACTGTGTCAGCAGCACCATAATAACACCTGATAGTACTTCTTTCTTTCATTTGCAGGTCTTTTTGTTTGTAGGTCTCTAAGAAAAGAAGAAAAGTTCTCATTTTGCAATGGGAGAAAGTAGAGATGTGTGAAACCTTTTTCCTCCTTCACCTAGTCAGGAACAAGAGGCAGCCTAATTTAGTTCTAAATCACTTGCCAAAGGCCCTAGTAAAAAGAAAAGTCAAGAGTTAGGGCCGCAACTCAAATGTTCTGGCTTTTGGTCTGGGGCTGTCATTACTAGCCCTACCCACTCTGGTTACTACAATGCACAGGAGTGTTGTGATGAATATACGTTTATTGGCAAGCACTTCACAAACCTTCTTCCTTATCTCTCTCTTTAAAATATAAGCTACTTAATATTTGCCCCTGGCTGGTATCAACAAATGTGTCATGATATGCACTTACTTTGCACCCATGTTAACCTTTTGAGCAGACGCAGCACTTTCAGTCAGAAAATCATCACCGGTATGCTCTGTTAGTACATTTACAGTAATGAGTCAGATAAATGCTTTCTGTTTTTAAAAGGGTAGAAGCAATGCAGCAGGACAGGTTTGTCCACCCACTGCATTTTGTTCCAGCAATTCTGGCACAGAGCTGCATCTAGGATCAAATAGTCTTAGGAAGCCAACATGCCAAGCTTGAACAGTAAACTAATGTAAATATATAATGGCGTGGGAAAAAATCTTTTGTTTGTTAATATTAGGTGATACAGAATATCTGTTGTTCAGGACAAGGAACCGGAGAACTGTTGGATTACGTTCAGCAATACCCAGCTGTCTTTCTTTTTTTTTCCTGGTGCATAGGTTGCTTTCCTCTCTGTGCATTTGTATGTGTGCATACATGCAGAGGGACTTGGGAAGCACTTAACTAAGTCAATCTGTTAATAAACTTTTAATTTTATGGACAAAAGAGGAGGGTGGAAAAAAATAAAAAGCATTTAGTGGGAATCTCAGAAAGAAATACCTGGAGATGAGTTGCAGCAGCATGGTAAGAAAATATGTGCTTTGGAAGTTTCAGCTGACTACCTAATCCAAACCACTCCTGGAGGAAGGAGAAGGAATGAGGAAGTCAGTTTGCGGTCACCAGCTTCTCTGCCTGTGATATCCAGTACATAATTATTACAGGGCTACAGTTCAGCCAGCTTTTGACAAATGAACTACCAAGAGTTTTCTCTGCATGTTTTCTATTCAAGTGTGTTTAGTCATAAATACTTGGTTCTAATGGCATTTTCTTAGTCAAACAGAACCACTCCTAAGCATTGATAATACATTTTATTCTTGGTATAAGCCTCTGAACAAGATTCTTTTATTCTGGTTGAAGGTCTTTCTACAGAAGTGGAGTATCCTGGATTTTTTTCCACCCACACTGATTCTGACTACTTATACCCCTAGTGCTATTCATCTCCAGATGCTTTGCAACAGTTCATATATTCTGCACTGAAAAGTTTCCATGAAATAGAAATAGTCCGTGTGATAGCCAACAAAATTATCATATTAATCTTATAAGAGGAAAAAGTAATAGCAAAAGGACACAGGCATCAGGTCAGGACACCAGATTTCCTGGTTCCCAATGACTTTACTCATACTCAGATTATCTAGTCTTCAGGTTCATGAAACAGAAACTCCTGAGTGCATGTAATGCTCCCATTAGCTCATCTAGAGGCATCTCTATTTTAAAGGTCCCTGTAAATACCAAGTTTCAGTCCCAAAGATACAAAGTAGGAAGCAATGAGCCGTAAACCATCCCTGGTAGTGCTACCCTATGATTCGACTGTATTTGAAAACTTAATGCTGAAATGATAATCATGAATTATTGAACCATTTTTGTAGGCTTTTGACTCTGTATGAACAATTCATGTATATGTAAAACACATCTAGTGAAAGTACCAGCACTGACAATTTTTACTTTCAGGTACTCCTGAAATTTTCTCCCCATCCCTAGCTGCTCACCAGCAAAGAGAACGTACAGAAATCTTTAAAAAAAAACAACCCCAAACCAAAACCCAGTCAAATAGATGTTTTTCCAAGGACCTGCATTTGCTCTCCTTTAAAAACGTTACCCACAGTTTTCTGTTTAAAACCTTTTGCATTCAAGAGATGCCTCTTTTCCCTAGATGGGTTCACTTAAGCTTCTTTCTCTACTTCAGCTTTTTAGTTAGCTACACTCCCTCACAATCTGATGCCTGTTCAAACGTCTACTCAAGCTGAGACAGATCCAAAAAGTGCTTGTAGAGGGTGTTGGCCACAGTCCTGAAAGCCTTTCTGCTGGCACTTCAGAGCAGTGAAGTGTTTGCCTGCTCCCATCGTCTCCAGCTGAAAGAGGAGGGAACTGAGCTTACCCTTCAACCGTGAATGACTGCGAGGTAAGACACATCAATTTAAGGAGCAGTAAATCAAATCAGACTCTACGCAAGCTCCTGGCCTGAAACTTGTCAAAGGTGGTGGTTTTCACCAAAATTTGAGGATGCTAAATGAGAGCCCTAAATGAGAGGGTTTTCTAAGTCCAGCTTCAAAAGTTATTAAATCCCTCTGACTATTGAACACCTCATCCTAAATATCCCATTTCATTTCTGAAAATTTTTAAACATGTTTTGTTTAAAAGCTTTGAGTTTAGCACAATTCCCATGTTTTACCACCCTTCAGTAATTCAGCTATTGAAAATAGACCTCTCAACAGGGGATTTTCAGGATTAGTCTTAAACTGATAGCATAGCTCACACACTCAACAAAAGCAGCAGGAAGAGAAAAAAGCCAAACAAACCATAAAAGCAGTCCCATAAAGATTAAAAAACCTGAAAGAACTGAAACAATGAAGTCTGTGACAAACCATAATTTTGGCACATATCCTATTCAGTATATAATTGTAAGAGTTACAAGGCTGGCATGGTTGCATACATCCATATTCATGAATAGTTTTCAGGGTTCATTTTTGTGTGCATGTGTGTGATGAGAAAATAATTTTACTCCTGGCTTAAGGAGTATCTTTCTGAACATTTCTGTTCAAATAATGCCCGTAATCTTTCTTTCCTCCTACCTCAGGTAAAAAACCTGACCAGGTGATCGTGGTGGAGTTTTGTATTTCAGTTGCAAAAGAAGACGGCTCCTTCTTTTTCTTCTCTCTAAGCCTTCTCAGATGTACACTATATATTATAAGATGTCATTCTTCCAAGTTCAGACATCTGAAACAAACAAATCTGGAATATACCGTCATCTTCTTCTCAGATGAATATGTAAAGCCAAAAGGCGTTAAGAGCAATTCTGTAAAGACAGTGGAAATATTAAAAAAACCCCAAACCTACACAGAAAAATACGATGTTACTGGGTGGACTTAAGATATCATTTCTGAAATACTGCCCAATGGCTAGCTAGTTTCCCCTTTTTCTTCATCCAGAAAACCTTCATAAAACTCAATCTTAAGGTCAGGTGTAACAGCGGACGTGTCAGGGAGACCAAATCAAACCTGGGAAGCCATGGAGCATACGCCAGGTATAACAATGCACAGACTTAGCAGGCTTTTTAACTTCACCACAGCCATTTGCAGAACACAGTTATACTCGTACCACTCACCAAACCATAGGCAATTAACGTCTGGAGTTATTTTCAGCCATGAAAAGTGCTTGACTTCACCACACCATTGGGCAGTGACTACTTCTGCATCCTCTGGGGGAGGAGAGGGCAGGAGGCGAACCTCCAGAACTTAACTTTGAGAGCTACAGACAAACAAGTGGAAAACGAGCACTCTGGCATTGGTGCACTCATTTCTCCTTATCATGTCACCAGCTCAGGAGAACACTTGGCGGCATGCAATGGAGAAATTAGTTAAGAGAGATGCAGCTGGTGCCTAAGCACATTCTCAGGTGACACCGGTCTCTGCTGAAGCCCACAGTATTTAGCCTCTGTTATTTGGAAAGCCTGGTGTCATAGCTGATTTCCTGGTGTTTTAGCAAAAGCCATCGGTGTCTTTCTTTCCAAGACCAGCAAGAAACCTGTGCGAAATAAACACAGTGCCATGAGAGTGTGCTGTTACACATCTTCAGCATGGGTTGCGGAGGCACTTGAAGTGTGGAAGAGGCAAACAACCAAACACCCCCCCACACCTGATAAAGCAATTATTCCACTTGTGTCATTTTGGCTATGGCATGTGTCAGGAAATCAAAGGCAGATCCCATCCACTCAGGGGACTGGACTGGGATTGCTGCCCTGGGTAGGCTGCTCTGCAACTAGCAAACAGCCATGGCGTGGACCGAGGAGCCGGAGAGGCATAAGCCCAACCTTCAGCACACCTCACTGCCTTGCTTGCAGCTCACGCTGAGGAGATCATGTTTGCATACTCAGGGCATGAATAAAGGCGAATTTTTCCAAACTATTTTAATGTAAATACAGGGGCGTCCACAGCTAACCAGCATGGCAGTTTGACTGGGATGACTGCCAAGTAACAAACTTAATGCAATGTATTTCATTTACTCCCAAACAATGGGTAAATGGCACTCTTTTGCTGTTTAAATGGCATACCCACCGCTGTCTACGTGTCTGCCCACAGGTGTTATGCAGTACGAACACTTACCGTCTGTTAACATAAATTTGTTCACTTGTGTTTGCTTCCCTCTTCCAGCCTGGCTGCTAAGCCTATCAAAGGTCCCAAGCTAAACAAGTACAAACATCACTCGCAAAGTGTGTAGGCAGCAATTAAAGCACACCGAGGTAGGGTGCAGCGTTTTAATCACACTGGCTGATGGCCAAGGAGCTGCAGAAGTGAACCGTGCTTCCCCAGCCATGGAGGAGGAAGGAGGAGGAATTCCCTTCATGCCTCTAACGTGTTGCTATCTACACTACTCATTCACTTCAGAGCTGCACCCTTGTCTGCACCTTTTTACCTGCTGGTGGATATTCATGCGCCTACGCTTGAAACATCCCTTCACTGCAACTATTTTTGCAACCATATTACATAGGAGTAATAGCCCATTTTTTTCCCCTGACAATTATTTGTGACTAGCAAACAAGCTGCTATCAAAGTGAATATACTACCTTATTTGAGCAAATGCTGACAGGTCTTTTTTAGTTTTGCAATGAAAATTCACTGCCAAAACAAAGACATAGAACATACTGTGCTATTACACAGTAACAGGGGAAAAAGTAATTTTAAATCATGGAACTAAGATATTTTATCAGTTTACAGGATTAAAAACGACCATGCACAGAAACTGTTTGCTGATTCGTAACATTAATGTGTTTTACCTTCTAGGACAAAACCCCAGTAGACTAATGATGATGGGCAGAAAAAAAAAATCTGTTAATTCTCTAAGGCTTTCTTTCTAGTACGTGTATACATTATGATAAGGAAAAAAATTCAGCTCATGTAGTTTTTCCTTTGGATGTAAATGTGGACTTTCAGCTTTCTGCTTGCTGTTTGATTGCTGTGAAATAACTAGGAGTGCATCCTGGATATTAGCATACAAACAGTATGTATAATTCAGTCTAAATGAAATTGTTTATAAACATCAAAACATTATTTATAGCTCTCTCTATAGCTATACTATTAGGATGCAATTTCTCTGTGCAGTGAGGGAGAATGGCAATTTATCTGCATCTGGGTGGTTTCACATTACTGTTTGTGGTCACAGATCTCCCCTCCAAAGCTTCTTTGGGATGTGAAATTTAGTTTTGATTACTGAAGAAAAGATTAGATCAATATAAGAGTGAGATGATTTGAAACAGAAGAGCACATGTGAAAACACTGCAATTATTGCACAGGAGTGATGTGAGCTATTCAGTGATGGGGATTCAAAGACAAACCGAGGAATTTCAAGCCCAGTCGAAGGTCACTGTAGGCCAGCATTTCCCATCTCGCCTTTGCGATGGTCAGTGGTTGCTGCCATCTGCTTGCCAGCCTAAATGAAGTAGTACTGATTACAGATTCAAAAGGTAAAACAAAAAAAAAAAGGCATGAAGAGATATCCTTGTTTATAACCTTTCTAGTAAGGTCAGGGATTGAATGGACCAGAGATTTTTTCCTCTTGAAACAAAACAGAGAATACACAGTACC